CTTACCGGAGACTCCATGTCGTACAATCGATTTACTGTATGGCCAGCTGGGCTCTTGATAGTATTGATTAGGTCTGCCATTTGCCTGCTGGATTGTAAGCGAGCTGTTTAGCACTACTTTCTTCAATATGATTTTCAGGAATCCTGAGGCGCCTGTTTCGAGGAGCCGACTACTTATGAATAGGGTATTTTTTCAAGGAAAATATGTCAGTCACTTGTGTGTACTGTACACTCAATAATATATCAGGAAATCAGCAAGCTTTTGCTCAAATAACAACATACAGTGAATGAATTAACAGGTTTGGCTGTTTAAGATGTGAATTGCGGGTTGTGGTGCCATATAGACCATAGGCGTTCTAACATTTTATGAGTATTCCACAAGAGTACTAATTATAAATCAGACGTGCCGCGAATTGATGGTAGAAATCGAGGATATATTGGAATGCCTTTCGGGAAAAGCATTGGTGCCAGGGATTCTTATCGCCGTCATCATATGTGGTACAGCACACCCCCGGACTGTCGTATAGGATAATAAAACAATTCGTTTTGCACCCATGCAGTAAACGTTAAACGTCACCGCAAAAAAATGGTTGAGTTTAACGTAAAAAAAGATATAAATGACTCCTCTAAGAATACACGCAGTTGAAATCACGCGGTAGTAATAAAATAGCAAAAACGTTTAGTTTTATTTAACGAGAAGCGAACTGAAGATTCCGCGAAGCAGCTTTATTTTTAGAAAAAACCCCAAAAATGTATAATTTCCAATTTTCCGACATGAGCCCATCGCTATCTTTTGGAGACGAAGGCTATGGTGAGACTCTGAAAATTCACAGAATTGATTCGTTTGTTTCAGATGAGCTTTTTGTCAAAACTAAAAGATGCCGTACATCTGCTGATAAATTGACACAATGATGTGACTCAAATGTAAATATGGGGATACACTCTGAACTTCTGAAGTCTGAACTCGGAAGTCTGAACTTTTGAATCTGGGGGGAGAGGCTAGAACAAGTAACATCAAAGTGGGAACATTACATATAAAATGTATTTTGCTATACATCACCATATATATCACCATTAGATATCACCAGATATATCACCAGATATATCACCAGATATATCACCAGATATATCGCCAGATATATCGCCAGATATATCACCAGATATATCACCAGATATATCACCAGATATATCACCATTAGATATCACCAGATATATCACCATTAGATATCACCAGATATATCACCATTAGATATCACCATATATATCACCATATAGGATGAATATATTAAACTTGGATTTGCTTTTTATAGCACAATATAGCAGCATTTTGAGCACTGCTGACTGCCGATAAATAGTCGTGGTTATCATTTGGATCGCTATTTCTAAATCTTATACAACGACCCCTAATACACAGCATGGGAATGATTAAAATTGTAAGTATTCTGGTCGAATAGTTGACACGCCCTGCTTGAATGGATCTTCGGTACAGTATCAAATGCGTACAGTTGGATCTTCGGTACAGTATCAATTGCATGAAGGGATATGTTTTCAATTGAATCCAGTTAAAAGTCCTGATGTCTACGGATTCGTCTCTTCGCCAAACATTTCTAAGTTCATACATTACAGCATAATAGTCAAACGAACTTTATACGCGATATATGCGACTCATGCCAATTCAACATCGTGAGTCAAAAATTTGGGTTTGACGATACAATGGACTTACACACATCCGAAATCTCACCATAACTAGGTTCAAAGCAGAAGAATCCTGCTCACATGGGGAAGAAAAATAAAATAGACTTCTCGAGTTTTATTGTGAATTCATCATGACCATGTATCTGCACTACGAAGGCCTGCTATCGATCTCGTACACAGCCCAAAATCTGTCGCGAATACATGAATATATATATATATATATATATATATGTATATATATATTATATATATATAGATATATATATATATATATATATATATATTATATATATATATATATATATATATATATATATATATATATATATATAGATATATATATATATATATATATTATATATATATATATATATATATATATATATATATATATATATATATATATATA